CTTCAAACTCGTATAAGAAGTGGAAAAAGGTACTCTCTAGTTAATTTAAGTTTAATTCATGAAGTTGGCAGAATAGCGGATGAGCAGTGGTTCTTTTGGATGTATGATAAATGAATATCTAAATTAAAATAGAAAATCTGTTCTTTTCTATAAAGAGAAATAAAGCTCTATGCATATACATGCGAGCACATAAAAAGAAAATATCAGACGGAACCAAAATATCTGATGTATTTGAAAAAAGTCATTTTTCATTTCTCATCTTCGGGTCTCCATGGATCACTCCTGTGACCATGCTATTGCTGGGGTTAAGAGCCACATAATGTTTGTATTAAATAACAACATAAGCTAGCCGCAGCTATTTCTACTACCGAACCATAGTCGTCGGATAAGTGTCGTTGTCTTGCATAACATTCGAAAAATGCTGAAACTGTTACAGTAATAACAAACAGATACAATAAAAATTTTGTTACTCTACTCTGAAATTCATTATAATGTTCGAAAAAAAAATCGAATATTAAGAAAAAAGCAATATTATTTGTTGTTCTTGTTATTATTTTATCATTTGCATAAATTGGTATGAATATAGCAAATATTACTTCTAATCTTGAAATAAAATGAAATAATGTTGTCCGTTTAACAACTATATGTGGTCGGCCATTAATATTATTCCATTTCCGAATACAAACCGCCAATATAAAACAAATGTGTAAAATAGCATATAATATGAATATTACGAATTGAAGTGTCCTCCTGCATAAAGTAAAATAAAATATATCCAATATCACCACCGACGATGAATATAAATAATGCAGTTTGATAAAGTACGAGATGTGATTTTGAGTTAAATAAAACCGAATAGTGCAGACAAAAAAATATAATACTAACGGTAGCAAAGAAATCCATATATCCATTCTGTGTTATATAATGATACCATGCAGCTGTTGCATATAACGTCGATATCAAAATCGGTAATATCATCATCAGTTGACGTTCTTCATCAGCGATTAGTGGGACAGCGATTGGTGGGCCAGCGCTTGGTACGACAGCGTTTGCTGATTCTGTTATTTTTATTCGCGTAGATGTGTTAGGATCGTCAACCGTATGATCATTCTGACTCGTATTGCATATAAATCGCTCTACATCTCTGGACGCCACAGCTGAAAATTTAATAGAAATCTACCTATAAAGTAAGTAAAGAAGTAAAACGAAATACGCAAAAAAAACTAATTGAGATCATCAATTTAGAGAACGTCCGTAGATACATCAAAAAATAGCATAACATGACTAAATAATACTTTTCCCTAAAAACATGCCCACTAGATAATACATTCAATTCAAGTTAGCTTCAAATTCATACTTTTATACCTTGCTCTCCTCAGCTATGAATTTTCTAAAAAGGTTCCAATACTTTTTCTTTCATAAAACCACATACTCTAGAATGTTCGTTGGAATAACCATATACTTTGTTCCATATCATTGAGTCATATCTCATTCGAAAGAGAAAAAAAACTTTTAGAAATTAAATCTGAACTTAAGAAATATCAAACAAACGTTTCAATCGAAACACGCTCAAACATATTTAGAAAGACTAAGAATTGCTGTCTTGTATTTTTTAGAGAAAATAATTTTCTACAAACAAACTGACCTATAAATGATTGAAGACAACCGCGCAATGTGACCAAAAATGCGATACAATAAGCAGCATGATCTATTTTTGGCCCATTTTTTACCCACATTTCACACCGTTCGTCTTCACAATGCGTTTTTACTCATAATAAATATCACTTTCGTGATTTCAATTTTTTTCTGAAAACTGCATGTAGAAAAACGCTATTGAAAAACGAGGCGGGCCGATAAGGTCACTTTGCGACCCCAGACAATACATCATGAATTATATATTTTTGGAATCAGCAATGAATTCTGGACAAAACTGTCGACTCAGATTTTCAAAAAATGCACTTTCATTTTTTTCGAAAATTTTCATGGCAAAGGGGGATCTGGATAATCTCGAAAACTTTTTTTCCTCTAAAATAATTAAATTATACTTCATTCGACGCAGAATTTCACGCTGATCACGAATATGGCCTTGCCCAAAATCAAGTTTTGTATAAGAAAAGCGCCATCTATTGAAAGATGACAAAAACTGCTTTTAATAGTTTTCGCGCCTCTGCAAACCTATAGAAGCTGTTCCAGACCTTGAAAGACACATATTCGGATTCCCCGGAGTGTCAGCTTCTAGAATCTGCCAAGAAAATCTAGAAAATCTTGAGTTTTTAACAAATTATTAACCTATAAAAACTCGAAAAATGCATAGAAAATGAACTGGTACGAAAACTATCGATCCTCTGATTTTTTTCCTACTGGATGTTCCAGCTCGAAAGAGATCGGGACATACTCAACTTTTGACGCTCTCTCTAATGGTACCAAAATAAAGCGAGACTCTCACCCTCACGAAAAGTGATTTAATTCGTTTAAATGCATTGAGTTGTTGGAAATTATAGCGATTGCGTTTAAACGCGTCGATTTCATTGAGAATCGTATATGAAAGACGTTCAAACACAAGAAATTGTTTGTGAGCTTAGAAAGTTTCCATTGTTCTCGCTTTTCGTATAATTTGCTTAGTTTTCTTGATTGACGTTCTGAAATTAAAGTTTAGGTATGATTTTGTACAGTATATCGCGGCACATCTTTTAAAAAAATCATAGAGATTCAACTATTTGTGCACAAACCATGAATAGAGATTTAAAAAAAGTACAAGAATGGTCAGAGAAATGGTACATCCCACGAAATGTGGCTAAATGTGAGGCAATAACATTTTCATCGCGATATAATCGTAAAAAAGCGTTGTCTTTGCAACCGTTACAACTGCACGGTTCGCAGATCGCAGAAAAAGAGGAGGTAAACTATCTAGGATTGCTACTATCTTCTGATTTAGCGTGGAGTAGTCATATCAATAAAATTTCTTCGAAACTATCTTCTGTTGTTGGAATAATGAAATTTTATAAGCATGAATTACGTTCTTAAGATTATTTATAAATCGTGCGACTTATCAATTCTCAACTACGGGTTA